GCCGCCTGTAGGACAGGACGCCGTCACCGTCGCCGACAACCAGGCCGCCGTTGCCGTGGACTACGAGAACAGTCGGCTGATCGCGCTGATCGTCGTAGACGACATGCTCAACGCGAAAAACGCTCTCGTCGCAGAACACTTCTACAAGACGCAACAAGAGCACCTCAAGCAGCTCAACGACCCCGCGCGGCTCGCGGAGCTTCTCGAACAGGCCGCGCCGCTCCGCGCAAACGGAGAAGAGCTCGTGGAGCGCCTCAACCGTTTCCAGCGGCTCACGCGACAGCTCGAGACGCTCATCGCGTACGCCACCGAGTTCCGCGTGCTGCAGGCCGAACTCGAGAAGTACATGGAAGTGCTGAAGCAGACCATCGGGATGCACCTCGAGCGCATCGCCGAGTTCATCAAGCTCTTCCACATGATCGAAGACCCGCTCTCGCCGAAGATCAACGAGGTGTACAAGCTGCTCCAGAAAGCGAGTGCGTAATTTCGACTCCGCGATTTATTGCCATTATTGCCTAATTTAGCTTTCACGATTTCGACGCGACGCGCTTGCTCCGCCGCCCGCGCCGCACCCTCCGAAGCGTTTTGCGAAATGAGTTCTAAAGAGGCTTTACGCGAGCAAGTCTTCGCCACGATCCGCGCGCGGCTCTGTTCCGCGGAGCGCGAAGTCGCGGCCGCCCCGCCTGCGCTCGTCTCGCTGGCACTCGCGCGCGAACTGCGCATGGAGTAAGTGATTCGCGGCCGCGCTTAGCCACGCGGAACTCATCGGCGCGCTGAAGTCGCTCGAGGCGCACGAACGGGTGCAACTCGCCGCGCACACCGCCACGAGCTACGCGCTCTCTGCCGAGGGCGACAGCGTCGCCGCGACCGGCTCGCCCGAGTATCTGCTGCTCGAAGCCGTGCGCACGGGCCGCGTCGCACACGTTGACGCTGTGAAGCAGGACGCCGCGCTGAAACGCACGCTCGGCGTTTGCCTGAAAACGCAGTGGCTCGAAAAGCTGCCGGACGGCGCGCTCGTCGCGCGCCCAACGGCGCCCACGAGCGACGCGCCGCGCGAGGCGCTGCGCGCCGCGCTCGCCGCGCAGAGCACGGAGCTGTGCGAGCCGCTCGTCAAGCGCAAGTGGCTCGAGCGCAAGACCTCTACGCACTTCCGCGTCCTGCCCGGCGCGCGCTTCGACCTCGACGGCCGGAAGCAACTCACCGAGATCAACAAAGCGCTGCTCGCCACCGCAGATTGGGACCGCGTGGAAATGAAGCCGCTGAACCTGAAGGCCGAGGGCGTCGCGCCGGACTTCGGCTCGGTGCACCCGCTGGTTGAGCAAATAAACACGTTCCGCGCCGTGCTGCTGATGATGGGCTTTTCCGAAATGAACACGCGCCGCTGGGTCGAGAGCAGCTTCTGGAACTTCGACGCGCTCTTCCAGCCCCAGTCGCACGCCGTGCGCGACGCGACCGACACGTTCTTCTGTCTGCGGCCGGCCGACTGCGTGCCGTTCGACGAACTGCCGGCCCACGACCAAAAATACGGCACCGACTTCGCGAAGCTGATGCAGGACGACTACAATCTTGCCGTAAAAGCGGTGCACGAACGCGGCGGCTACGGCAGCCGCGGCTGGAACTCGCCGTGGTCCGAACGCCTGTCGCGGCAGCTGATTTTGCGCACGCACACCACCGCGGTCACGACGCGCATGTTGCGCAACATTGCGCTCGAACACCGGCAAAACCCCGCG